AGGCGTTGGAGAGGAGAGAGAAGTGGCGGCGGGGAGGGGGTGGTTGGAGGAGGAGCGGTTGCAGGAGGTGAGGCTGTGAGGGCCTGGTGGGCTGCATTCATGAGGCGCGAACCTCTAGTAGAAGCGGCATGCATAGGGGAGCGATGGAGCAGGTGGAGACGTCGATGATCTAATGATATGAGAGAGGGAGTGTTTGGGGTCTGGGTGACCCATGGGCCACTTACTGGTGTTTGGGACGCTGTGCGGCTCCGTCCTGAGCAGCTTTACGCCAAATTATAAGTGCGTTGAGGACAGGGGTTACGGTGTCAGCGCTGGACCAGCCTGCAGCAGTGCAGTGGGACACACCGTGGCATGGGAGTGGGGGAGGCACAGGATGAGCACAAGGGGGGTTGGCAGGGTTGGCAGTCACAGCAGGTCCCCATGTTGCAATCAGCAGCAGCACAGGAGCGCGCGCGGCACCCACACACAAGACATAAGCGTGTCCCTTACATCGCAAAGTGCGCGACCTATGAGCCAGGCAGCTGTAGAATCTGTGCTTCCCTGCTTCCTGTCCCCAGCAACACAACCATGTTCCCCTTGGTGCCTTTCGTCCATTTCCCCTTCACCCCAGCTCAGCGCCGTGCCTGCCAATGCCCCCTACGCCCCGTGAACCGTTTGCTTACGTGTTAGCACCAGTTGCTGCCCTGGGAAGGGCGCGCAACATAGTTCCGAGCCCATGTACGTGGTACACGGAGCAGAGCCCGGTTCTGCGTCGCGCCATCGAAAGAGCGGAGAAGGTTAGGGATATCAAGTCGAATTGACAAGAAGAACTTATATAACGCGTCGATTGGCAAGCAGGTGAACGTATCGCTTGCTGTAAGGGCGGATGCGGATGCCGACGTCTGGATATGAGCCCATTAGACCCGCTAGATGCAAAACTTACTTGAGAGTATAAACGTAAGCTCGTATGTCTTTGTTTTCTCCTCAGTGCTTGTTGTCGCTGACTGGTCGACTGCGATTCTGTTTGAATAAGAAACGCACAGTCGCCAGCTGGGCCTAAGCTGACAAGGCCCTGCCTAAGTGTTCTATGTGCACTACATAACGCTACGTAACTGGCCATTGGGCAGTTCGCCTCTTGGCTAACTTGTAATGCTGGTTCGGAGGTCGCAAGCTGGTCGTAAACAGGATGTGTTACAGGGCGGACAGGCGTATATGTCTTTGCACTTAATGTAAGCATTTGCAACACCTTGAGTCACCTGCAGTGTGCTCTACCTTCGGGCGGGTGTACTGCAAGTGGCTTGTTAGTCCGTCGCCTACCTCAATAAACACATGGACCTGCAGGAAATTCAACGCTGAACACCATGGTGTGCTTGGTTTGTTGAGATATGCGCGGAAACGAAAAATCCGTACAATCATGTACGCATCGATGGCTTTACCGGCCAAAAGTTCGAGCTCAGTCGTAAACCATGTTGCCATTGAAAAAAACAAGGTATAGTAGTATGTGGTGGCCCTTTAAAAGAAAATAAAATACACCAAGTATGTGCGCTTGCATGCGCGACCCTGCTTTTCTTATCATATCCCAATACGAAAACATGCAATGAAAGGTGGTTTTGCTGTTGTTCATTATGCTTTAGTGAATGCTGCTATGTGCGCGCGCGCGTGACTCGTCGACGAATGGATGGCATGGCATTGCATGCTGAGAATGTGGTGCTGCAGGTGGCGGTGGAGCATATTGGGCTGCTGCTCTTCATGCGGCAGAGCAGCAGCAGCAGCGGCACTATGACAACTTGGTCTTGATTGGGGTCTTGATCGCTTGGTGGTGTTGCCTGTTTCGTACAATTGCCTGTCAGTTGGGAAGGAATGGATGGCTCATGGTTCATGGTGACGCCGCGGTGGTGCTGCCCCTCCCACCGGAGTTCACCATGCGCCTGCTGAGCGCCTGCTAGACAAGGGGTTTGGGGCAGGGAGAGAAGGCTCAGCAGGTGTAAAATGCAGATGCACATGATGGATAGGAGGAGGATGACCCAAAGGTAGGGTGCATGCTTGGGGTGAAAGCCATTAGTATATGCCTGTTGCTATTGGCGGGTTGCCTCTGCCCACTAGCTAGCCCACTACATGCTAGGTCTTCCCTGCCCCTTGCCGTACCCCAAACCAGCCCCAGCCGTTGGCGGCCCCTCTCCGTATTGTCTGGGAGGTGGTGGGGATTGAAGCGCCCGTGCATCTTGGCAGGAGGGACGAGGTAGGGGCAGTGACGACGGCGGCAGCGGCGGTGGCAGGGGTGTATGGGTGGAGAAGGGGATGACGCAGTCCATTGCTTGGAAAGGGAGGAGCTGAGCCATCTCTCTGTTTGGGGGGATGCAGGGGAGATGGCAAGAAGGGTGTCAGTATGTAGTGAGAGCACGGTAAGTTTGGAGGAGGAGAGGGACATAACGAACACAACAGGATGCATGGGGCTGCAAAGCAGGGCAGCGTACGCAGCTCTTTTCCCCCCACATGTAAAAGAGACACATCCCTCGTTCTCTCGCCCCCTCCGCCCAACCCAATACAACCCCCCAGCTCACCCGTGCCCCACACACAGACTCTGCTGCGTGCTTGATACCCACCGCGGTGTGTGCTGTGCCTGTGGGGGTTGGGGGTAAACACGCACATGAAGTTAAGCAGGATGCCAGCAGGAAGGGCGTATGCGCGTTACGGGGCGAGAGGGGCGAAAAGGCAGCGTGTGTGCTCTTTGGCAGCGCTTATCTGTCATAATCATGCCTGATGATGCCTGAGCACTTCTGTGCACGTCTGCTGCTCTCAACAGCGCTGCCCTCTCGTCCATTTGCGCTTGTGGGGCACTCACGTGGGGCGGGCTACCCATACATACTTAAGAGGCAGTGCTACGAACCCCCAACGCTGCCAGAGTACACGCCAGAGTACGACACAGCCCGAAACCTGCGCCTCCCCCGTCCCACGCCTCCCCCGCCCCATACCGGCGTCGAACAACCAGTGTCTTGGCCACACCGCGCCCCGCTTACCCTGGGCTCGTACGTGGCTGGCGAATTCGTCTTGCTAGTGCTCGCCTTTGCCCTGCAACAAGAGCACATGAGGGGTGCAGCAGGTCAGGTCAGACCGCAGTGCAACAACCAAGGTGCAAGGAAGAAGACCTTTGGATACGCAGTTGAGCGTGTGGTGAGGGAATACGTTGCACAGACGGACTGTGGTTAGGTGCTCGCAACTCTACACGCAGAGCCAAGAGACTCCTGCATCACGCGGGATTGCTTCACACAAGCACAGGGCGTGGGTGGGTTGCATCGCAGCGTTACCGGCAAGGCATAATAGGCAACATAACAGGCCGGGGATGGAGGCGTTATGGGGCAAGTTGTTGATATATTTCCCCACACCGCGCCCTACTTAACCGTACGAGCTTGGAGGTGTTGGTGGGAGTAGTGACAGCAGGGCGGTGTAGGTGATGGTGACGGGCTGGGTGCTGCTGGGGAGGGCGGTGTTGAACTTGGCAACGGCGGCGGCCACAGCAGCAGCAGCAGCAGCAGCGGTCAGGTAGAGAGGTGTAGTCAGCAACTTCACCCGGCCCCCAACCAACCACCAATCGTACGGCAGGCGGGAGCGGTGCAGGAGATGGCGGTGCTGGGCGGGGCGGTGAGGTCGAGGGAGGCGGCGCGCCAGGCGGGAGGGGTGCAGGAGATGGAGGTGCGGGGCGGGGCGGTGTTGAACTGGGCGACGGCGGCGGCCACAGCAGCAGCAGCAGAAGCTGAGGGGATGGTTGGGCAACCGGGGCGTCACTGGGAGCTGGAGACTGTGGGGCGTTTTCGGGATGAAGGTGATTTCGGTGGCCGCCAGGCACTGTTGGGCAGGAAAGGAAGGAGGGAGCGGAACCGGTTTGAGTCTGAGCGTCGTATGGGTGTGTGTTTCATAGAAGAAAAGGAGAGACAAGAGGGAGACCACCCATAACACCGTGCATTAACGGCGCCCTAACCCTTTGCCCTGAGCGTGCTGATGACCCGTGGGTCACTCACCTGTTTTGTAGGCGACGGGCCGCACGTGGAACATCACAACAGGTGATGCACGATGCAGACCAGTCAGGGGCTCCGGCCTGCAGGTGAGCTACGGCGGATGCAGACTGGGGGCTGGAGATATGGTGGTGACGTGCTGGTGAAGGCGGCTGCAAGCTGAGCAGCCGATGAAGGCAAAGTTGGGCTGGGCTGAACAGGCGAGGGAGGAAGCTGGCTGTGCGGCGGGAAGGCCGGCCGTGAGGGCTGGGCAGTGCGGGTGAGGGCGGAAGCGAGCTGGGCAGAGCGGGCCCAGAGGGGCGGAGGTGCCAGGGCTTGGGGGCGGTGAGGGCGGCAGCAGCCTGGCTGACGCTGGTTAGGGGGGAGGCAGGCTGGGCGGCGCCGGTGGGGGCTGCGCGGTTGCAACAGCGGACCAGCAGAGGCTCAGCACTGTCCTGTGTAGAGACGACTGTGGGGCGGTTTCAGGATGAAGGTGATTTCGGTGGCCGCCAGGCACTGTTGGGCAGGAAAGGAAGGGAGGGAGGGGAACCGGTTTGAGTCTGAGCGTTGTATGGGTGTGTGTTTCATAGAAGAAAAGGAGGAGACAAGAGGGAGACCACCCATAACACCGTGCATTAACGGCGCCCTAACCCCTTGCCCTGAGCGTGCTGATGACCCATGGGTCACTCACCTGTTTTGTAGGCGACGGGCCACACGTGGAACTCCTCAAAAGGTGATGGACGATGCAGACCAGTCAGGGGCACCGGCCTGCAGGTGAGCTACGGCGGATGCTGACTGGGGGCTGGGGATATGGCGGTGACGTGCTGGTAATGGCGGCAACAAGCTGAACAGCGGCGAAGGCAAAGTGGGGCTGGGCTGAACAGGCGAGGGAGGAAGCTGGCTGTGTGGCGGGAAGGCCGGCCGTGAGGGCTGGGCAGTGCGGGTGAGGGCGGCAGCGAGCTGGGCAGAGCGGGCCCAGAGGGTGCCCAGAGGGGCGGAGGTGCCAGGGCTTGGGGGCGGTGAGGGTGGCAGCAGCCTGGCTGATGCTGGTTAGGGGGGAGGCGGGCTGGGCAGCGCCGGTGGGGGCTGGGCGGTTGCAGCAGCGGAACAGCAAAGGCTCAGCACTGTCCTGTGTAGAGACGACTGTGGGGCGGAGGGGAGGGGCGGGAGGGAGGCGGGAGGGGGAGAGGAGGCGGATAAGAAGGCATGCAAAGGAGTACGACGACAGGCAAGGGGCAGGCGTTGCTGTACAGCCCAGGCCATCCAACAGCCGCTGTGCCCTGTGTTGCAGGTGTTAGCAGGACCGCCCGGTGCCCCCCAAGTTCCCTCCTCTACACGACCCCCTTCCCTGGACCTCTGCCCGTCATACTTTGACCCAACTCACATCTGCTGCTATATAAGCTACGGCGGATGAGCGGCTGGGCGGCTCCAGCGAAGGTGGCAGCACGCCATGCAGGAAGCGGCGCAGGAGGTGGTGGTGGTGCAAGGCGGGGCGGCTCCAGCGAAGGTGGCAGCACGCCATGCAGGAAGCGGCGCAGGAGGTGGTGGTGGTGCAAGGCTGGGAAGAGAAGGTGAGGGATGGAGGCGGAACGCCAGGCGGTTGAAGTGCAGGAGATGGCGGTGTAGGCGAGGGCTGGGCGGTGAGGGCGAGGGAGGGAGAGGGCTGGGCGCTGCAGGCGAGGTCGATGTCAGGCTGGGCGGTGCTGGCGACGGCGGGCAAGTTGGTGAAGGTAACGGCACGCCAGGCGGGAGGGAGGGGGAGGAGGGACCCCCTTCCCTGCACCCGCTAAGGTCATTCATGGGGTTCTGCTGCTCCTGCCACTGCTGCTGCTGGGGCTCCGTGAGTCCACAGTGAGAGAGGGCTGCATGAAGGGGGGGAGGGAGGGAGACAGGAGCGGGAGGGAATGAGTAAGGGAACACGCACGACCGAGTATGACAGGCGGTCGGAGGAGGTACACATGGATACTGCCCAACACCATGGCGACCCACGGGTCTCAACTGTGTTGCAGGTGTTGCAGGCGCCCCCAAGTTTCCCCCGTCTTGCCATGCACCAATCCACTACACAACCCCCTTCCCTGCACAAATCCGCCCGCCCTACAATGACCCAACTCACATGTCCTGCTATAGGAGCTTAACCAATGGCGCGCGGCGCGGGTGAACGCTGGCCAGTGACGTGCAGGCCAGGGAGTAGCAGTGAAGGGCTGATTGGGGCGAGGTAACAGAGACAGGACCGAGAGGGAGGAGGAGCCAGTCCCATGAAAGAACGCATGGCTGGGCGGTGCGTTGCAGAGCTGTTCAGCGGCGGGGGAGGGCTCTGAAAAGGACGGAGCAGCAGGAGGAAAGAGGAGCATGCGAGAGGAAGGAGAACATGTTAGCAAGCGGGGGGGGAGAGAAGTAGTCGGGGCAGCAGCAGGGGCGCAGGGTAAGCAGGGCGGCGAGAGGAGAAGAGCGCGCAAGAGGGTGAGGACGCAGGGGTGCTAACGTGGTGCTAACAGCAGTGTAGAGCAACAGAAAGGGGTTTGGAAATAGAGAGTCCCAGACAGCATCAGCCCCCGTATGCAAAAGCTGGGCTGCTGGCAACCGCCTTTCTCACCTCCATCCAACCAACCGCGCCGCTCCACTGGCACGCCCTTCCTTCACCAGCAGCCTGCCAAGCGCTTGTAACCTAAACAGAGAGGAACAGCAGACGCTGGTGTAAGTTATGGTTGCTACGAGGACACTGGAAAATGCGATGCGAGGCTCAGATGAAAGAAGCTAGCTGCACCGCAAATCACACACTCATATCAAGGAACACGATGTTGTATGTGCCAAGCCCGCGTGCACCTCATTACGGCCTTCTAACGAGAGCTCGGCCCAGACACGAGCAGCAGGAGATCGCACTCATAGCAAGCGCTCCGGCCCTCCCAACGCACCTGATTTGCTAGGTGCTCCTAAACGGATGAGAAAAGCCGACGCTGCTCCAAGACGACGGCCAAAAAGTCCGGAGTGCTTTCTCCGGCCCAGCACCGCCTCCAGATCGTTGCGTCGAACTCTGTCCATAAAACAGGACGTGAAGTATTTTACCTATTTATTACATCAGTGTGTTGTAACAGTAGTGAAGTAAGCGTGCGCAGGCACAATGCGAGCCTCTGCTATGCCGCTGCTGATGTACGGCAACGGGGCATGAGGCAGCTTATTCTGCCCGCTTCCTCCAAAACCCGTAAGGAACCTGTTACTGGTATGCTTGTTTGAGCGAGTATGTGTGCGCTTTAGTGCAATTTCAGGGCTAAGCGCGGCTGGTCATGAGCTCGTCACCCTGCTCAAGGGTGACCACTCCCAACAAATCACACCTCCCACGCGGCCAATCCGGGATTCAGCGCCTTGCCTGACGTGGGCTGTGCATATTAGGCATGGGTCATAGGAATAATATCAATCACAGTCGTCGCATGGTGCTCCTGGGAGTGGATGTGTGGGGGGAGTGAGCATGGGGCCTCTCCAACGAACATCCTCATCAAACAATGTGTACTTCACCCAAAGACAGTTGTGAGGGCCTGTCGCCAGCTGCATGTGCACCATAAGGGAATGGAACACAGCAATTACGGGCACAGTAGGCTAAAAGACACAGCAAACACCCACATGTGATGTTTGCCCTAGCTGGGAAGGGGAAAAAGCAGGCATAGTCCATCAACTGCACGTGCAACACACAGGCTGTCCAACTAGAACACAAATGTACGACAGGAGGCATATTGCCCGGGCCCTCTTGGGTCAAATAGGGCGTCAGGCGAAAAGATCCCAAGGGTACGTTGGGTGGCCGCGGCTGCTTCTCCTCGACCGGCCCCTAGCCGTCGGCCAGCCTGAGGAGGAGCACGGCGTGCAAGGCAGCGCCATGAAGGCACCCTTCCCCGCCCCCCCAGCGGCCCCAGTACCCTCCCCAGACGCCGCCGAGTCCGTTGGGTGCCGCGGCTGGCTTCTCCTCGACTGCCCCCTAGCCAGGGCAGCATGCAGTCTCCTCCTCGCTCTCATGTGCTTGATGAGGATGCACCTGTGCCAACAGCCACCCGGGCTGCTGCTGGTGGCCTGCGTCCAGGCTGTGTTCCGCCGCTCATTGGCTCTGGCTCTCGGGGGTGCAGCGGCAGTATTGCTATGGTGGGTCCTTTGCATCCAACCTGCCAGGTCCGCAATTGGCCCAAAGACGCGCTAGGCAGTCGGTGCCGTATTGGCTTCCTCTCCTTTATGAAGCAGAACATCAGGCTTGCTCCCATTACGGAGGAGATGGCGGGCTTTCGGAGCTGGAACCTCCAGATTCACAAACTTCAACGGCAGGCCTGGTGTTTCCGAGTCGACGTACACGGGCTTGGTTAGCACTGTATCGAAGTACCTCGGCGTGTGCTTCCTGTACCAGGGGGCGCCGCTTCCTCTCATCTCGCTGCGACTTCTTCAGCAACCCGGTAGGCATGAGGGGCAAGCATAAGGGACTCAGGGGCAGGGGGCGGTGTAGGGTTGGGTTTGGCAGGTCATGAGCATTAATAGGAAGGCGGTGGGGGATCGTGCTTTGCCCTGTCTTGGGGCTGGTTTACTGACACGTGGGGTTTTTAACATGCCGTCCCTTTCCCTGCTACTGCCACAGACCTACGCCGTCGAGTACATAGACCTCATGGTGCGACGGGGCGGAAAGATGGCGCATCCAGGCAGAGATCTCGCGGGTTATCCGCGTGATTCCACTACCTGATCGAGAGGGACGCCGGCCTGCACCCCGACATGCAGCGGGAGGTGAGAGATTGGTCAAGGGTTTGTGTGCCTCTGTAGTAGTGGGTCCCATATTGCTGTTGCCGTTCAGTGAAGGTACCCTACCTCAGAACAATCTCGTTATGTACTGGTGAACCTTGCTAACACCCACACGCTTTGGCCGCCTTTATTGCCTCAGGTGGCCTTCTGCAAGGACATGCAGGCCTGGCTGAGGCGCATGTGCTGCCAGCTGCGGAAGACGTTCCCCTACGAGGCGCCAGCGCCTGCCCCACCGCCAGTCGTCCTTGACTCCGATGGCGAGGCGGCCCCTGTTGGCCTCCCTGACAAGGACACCGTGCTGGGCTTTGTGACGGGTCTGATCAGCCTGGCAACGGCAGCCATGCAGGTGGAGTTGGAGGACGGAGTCAGCATCAGCTTGGACACCGCAGTCCTCATGTCGGACGCTGTGCTCGCTGCTCTCATGTCTGGCCGTGTTCGTTCCACCGCTGCGGCTGTCTTGCATCCGGACGCTGATGCGACCTGGAAAGGCCGCGTGTACGCAGTGCAAGCGAGAGGGGTGTCGCGGCAACAACCTGCAGCTGCTGCAGCCAGCTGGAGTCCTGCAGTGTGAGCTGCTGCACCACAAGACGGAGAAGCACGCTGCACCCATCCACTTCACCTTCCCGGACGACCTGGCTGACTTCATTCTCAAGTACGACAGCATTGCACGGCCCGTGCTGGCCAAGTACGGGGCTGCCAAGGTGGATGCGGACGCGCCAGAGTCGCCTTACCTGGTGCTGTCGCGTGGAGGGCTTCCCTACAACGACTACAACATTCAGATAGGGCCTGCATGGCACCGGATTCAGGAGGTGTATGACGCACCGTGGCAGCCCCATTTCAAGGCCTCGGAGTTTCGGCACGTCCATGCGACAAACTGCCTACAGCGCCGTTGTTCGTGAGGTCGCGGCCAACACGGCGCCGTTGCGTGGAGGACGCGTTTGTCATGGGCAACTCCCTGCGCGTCTGGGACAGCCACTACGTCAAGGGCAAGCACTCCATGCTGGCCCAGGCGACTGTCGAGCGCCTAACGAGCTGGCGACAGGAGCGGCAGCAGCAAGGGGGTGGCGAGGCGGGGCCGTCAAGCTCGGGTCCTATCCTGCCAGCGGCAGGCATGACCCGCGGGACAGTCCAGGCGCCTGCATGGTCAGCAGGCGGTCAGGCGCGGGGCAGCAGCGGCTCTGGGCTGGCGGCAGGAGGGGCAGCCGGCAGCAAGGTGCAGCTGGGGACCATCGATGGGGAGAGTTGGGACGACTGCATGGAGAGCGGTGGGAACAGCAGTGCAGGGCAGGGGGCGTCCGACGGCTTGGAGAAGGGAGAGGAGGACTGGGTAGTGGAGTCGGGAGGGGGAATGGACAGGACGCACAGGACTGGAGATAAGCAGGAGGAACGCCTAGAGGATTGGCCTAGCATCATTTCCCAGCAGCAGCAGGCAGTTCGCAGGAAGCGCAAGTGGTCCAGCGCTGTATAAGGGGGAGTAGCACATGGGGCTGAGGGCAAGGGAACGAACTGTGTGCATTAATTAGTAGGTTTGGCTTTGCTGCTGAAGCCATGGATTGCTAGGTACGGATGCTGGCCAGTTTGCATTGCATTGCTAGGTACTCATGTGCGTTGAGCCATTGGGGCTTGTTAATCCAAGACTCCCCCGGGCGCATGTTCACACGCAGCCAGAACGCGGCTTCATATGAAACTGCCTTGTTTCAGCTATGCAGTTAGTGTTTATGTTACGTTGTTTCGTGAGTTGCATATATTCAACGGCCGGAGACGCGCGGTCTCACGGCGCTCGGATTTACTGCGGCATTGGCCTGCGGCAGACTTATAGGGTGCGCGGGTTTTCACACGGCGGGGCATCTGCCGTACGACAGTGCTGCTGTTTACGCACTGAAGCGTCTCTGTGTAAACACCATGCATACACTCGCTTACGTATTTGAGTTGGTTATAGATAACTATTAGTTCTTAGTCTCAGCGCTAGGTCAACATGTAACTCGTGAAGGATGGCGGGCAAGCTAAACAAAACTCAACCTCAGAAAGTCGCAAAGACTGTGCGAAAGCCTATTTGTTCAGAGATAATCAAGCAGTTCGATGATATCCTTGCTGGGCAGAAGGGCTATGCGGTTGCAAAGTCCTGTGCCAGCATCCTCGAGGGAAAACTGCAGTCGCTAGAGGTAAGAGCTCCTGCCCAGTGCTTTGTTGTATTCCAATTAATTGTGCGTATTATTCAGAAACGCGCTTTGATGTGTCAACGCCCAACGTGAACACAGTATGAGCTTGGCGGTGCTGGTGGCGTTCCCGGCGATGGTTTATATGGCTCAATCACATTGGGCCAGTTCCATCGCCTGCTTTGCTATCTGCGCCTGGTGGACCTCTTGCGACCTTGCGAGAGCGTCCTGGGCGACATCGGTGCGGGCATAGCGAGGTGAGTCGGCATGCAAGGCCCGGTCTTAGGAGGGGCACACGTACGGCAAAAGGGGTGGGGAAAGGCGAGGTACTGAGGGAGAGGTCATGAGCCACACGTGAAGCATCAAACACGGTGGTTTTCCATGTGAATGCAGGCCGGTGGTCATTGCTACCTTCTGCTTTGGTGTGGAGGCTACTGGATGGGAAACCAGCGTCAACAGGGTGTACGTTGGCACCTCTATCATTAGTAGGATAGCCGACAGGTGCACAGCACCCGGCAACAAGGAGGTGGAGCCCCCCATCATGGCAACCGTCTTCCACTGCGCAGCGCAGTACAGCAAAAAGCCCCCCACCATTGCTAAAGCCAATGCTGCAAAGGTACGACGCTTGTAGCCTGGGGTTTCATGTGGCGGTCGCCAGCTGTTACACGGTTGCCAGCTGTCTTGTTCGCATGCAGGTGGACTACAAGGACTGTACGGTTCTGTACACCTTCTGGCAGGGCGTTAACCCAGATGACCGGAAAGCCATCTGCGCCCAAGTGGCGCGAACACAGCAGAAGCTCGAGGTAAGAGCAGGTTGGGCGTGCAAGGTCCTCTGTGTATGAGGGAGGCAACGGCAGGGACATCCCGTGCGCTGGCAGTTAGTTAACCACCTTATGGTTGCTGTACGACACCATACACTCGCAGGTTGTGATCATCGTGCAGCAGGCCCTTCGTCAAAAAAGCCCAGCAGAGCAGTACATGGCGGACTTGGGGCTTCCTGGCCTAAGCCTGCTGTGGTACTCACCTGTCGGTGCGCAAGGTAAGAGCCCAGCTGGGGGATGGGCCGCCTTTTGGTGATTAGAGCCTACTAAACATCGTGCATGCATGCAGGCGGGCAGAAGTTTCGGGCCTACACCTTTATCACGGAACTCGGTAGGCGTAAGCAGCAGGCGCCGAGTCCTGAGCGGCTGCCACTCATCCAGGTAAGCGAGTTAGCTGGTACGGATGTGATGTCGTACCATCCATGCCGCCGTACACATGCGGTTTTGGGGCTCAGAGAGCGTGTTGTTGCATTTTGCATTGCGGTGTGCAGCTGGGGTCGCTGCCTCGTGTACCTGTGTCATCAAGGGCAACGATGCATGCAGCTTACTCCCTTGGATTGATAGGGCTGAATCGTTGCATGGTCCCAACCTCTTCCTTCCACAGGCAGGGGTGGATGACGCAGAAGCCCCCATGGAGCTTGCAGATGGCGCCGAGCTGGCCACAGCTGCTGAGGCAGCGGCAGCTGCTGACCCTGTTGCTCCGGAAATGGAGGCTGTCGTGGATCCTGCTTTGGAGGTAGACTATGACGCCGCAGAGCCTGCACCCAAGAAACCCCGGCTGTCGTCTCCTAGCAAGGACCGCACAGCCCCTGCTGCTGCTGCTGCTGCTGCTGCTGTGGCGGCGGGTATCAACACTCCTGCTGCACGGCGGGTGAGTTAACCCCTAGGGATGCAAAGTCTTTTCTGTTATCCCATGCTTAACAACAGCGGGTTCGCAATCTAGCCTCCCCATGCACACCCCCTGCATGTGCGAGTCCCCTGCATGTGCGAGCCCCTTGCATGTACAGCTCTTCCGTACACGATCCCCTTGCTTGCTGTACATGTCGTACAGGTGGCGAATGGGGGTCCCCAAACCTGCAACGCCTCGACTTCTCCATTGCAGCTGTTTGCTGCCGCTGCTTCTGCTGGTGACGGATCCGCCTCAGGCGTGCTTGGTGGCGCGGGCACAAGCCCAGCAGGGCTAGCGCCACCTGCATCAGCCACTGCTGCAGACCTGGTAAGTCGTACACCAGCACGACTGCCAGCAGTTGTGGGCGTTCGTGTGTTTTTTTGTGTGCAAGATCCGCCTCCTCTTTCTCGTACCACCACATGACACCATTGCACGTCTGACCCCCGTGCTCTGCGTTTTTCTTCTTGCTTATGCAGGTGCAGCACCAAAGCTGCTGCACGCAGCCCTCTGCTGCTGCTGCCGCTGCTGCTGCTGCTGCTGATGTGGCTACCAGCGGGTCCCCAGCAGGCGTGCCAATGGGGCGGTCTCCGCCGCTGAGCACGGCAGGAGTTGTCCCCTCCCTGGCTCCAGCCTCCTCTCCACCCGTGCCTACAGATCTGGTGAGTTCAGCTATAGCCTAGCTAGCTCCTTTGTTAGCATACCGATTTAGATCGCTGTGTGGTAGTGCAGAGCATATATTGCCTCTCTCTCTCTCTCTCTCTCTCTGTGTGTGCCCTGCTGCTGCTGTCTTGGAGGAACGCATGATTGAGCTAACCACCAGCAAAGCAGGAGGTTTAACGAACCCCCAAGCTGACAGGAAGCGCTCCTATCGCCCCCCTCCCATGTTTCCCCAGCAGGAGCACGAGCTACGTGAGAAGTACGGCATGCCAATGGTCAAACTCTTGCTGGAGCTGAAGGAGCCCGTGGCAGTTGGCCTGCTCGCTGTATGCCTCAGCACCAGCTCTCTCGACTGCTTCGACGCGCTGGAAACGCTGAGCCTGTTCTTCTTGGGCCCCTCACGAGCCCAAGGGAACGTGGCGGCGAGGCTGCTGGAGTGTGGAGCGAGGGCGATGCAGTCGCTGCTTGGTTCCCGCGGCTACCAGACAGCCAGCAACCCACCGGGGGGCTTGTCGCGGGTGGAGGTTCTACAGAAGCTGATGCCCAAGGCCCTCAAGTCCTTGCGCAACACTGTCGCCCGTGGGCGCACGGCAGCAGCCTGTTCCAGCAGGGGGGGCGCAGCAGCACCTGCTAGGAGCGACGCCGAGGTGAGCGCTTGCTTATTAGGGAAAAGGGAAAACGGTGCAGTGCTCTCTGCATATGCACTGGTGATGCCAGCTGCTGCTCCCTCCCGCCTCATCAGTGAATGCCTTGATCAATTGGAGGGGATGTACGGCACAGCAGAGCAGACGTGTATGCACGTCCCTTCTTCCGTGCATGTCCCTTTTCACGTCTGCGTCTGACCCTCTTCCTTGCCGCCCCTGCCCAATGAATGCTGCCGTACATGCAGGCTCCTGCCACCGGCGTTTCTTCCAGATCATCAAGTGCTCCTGCTGCTGCTTCGGACGCTGTGATGGACGACGCCGCTGCCGCCGCTGCTCCCAGTGCTTTGGGCTATCACGCACCAAGCTCAGCTCTCGACATGGTACGGCAGCTCAGACGGCGGGCAATCCACAGCAGCACGCACAGCCATCATCAAGAACCGCCGGGGCGGCTGTCACCCTGCAGATCATCCGCTGCCCCTGCGTCTGCTGGAGAGGTGAGATGGGCTTTCTAGTTAGTATGTGTACGAGACAACGTAAGAGGGGTCTTTTGGCAGAGCATGTAGCAGGTGTTTTGCGAGTGCGTTACAGTGCATGCAGTATACTTTTTGGCCAAACCTGCATCCAAGCACCTCCGCTGCTGCTCGAACTGGAAGGTTGCCGTACACCCTCTCTCCCCTCCCCGTCACCCCCGTCATCACCCCCGTCATCACCCCCGTCGTCCCACCCAAACACGCAGGTGTTCGTACGGCACGGGGGGGGTGGAGTACAAGAAGGTGGATGGCCTCCCCGCCACCTTTGTCAGCAGGTGCGGCAAGGTCCTGTCCTTGAGGGCGGCGGGCTACAAGCCTGTGGCCGTTACCCGTCATAGAACAACGGGCCACGCGGTTGCAAAGGTTAGGTTTCCTGGCTCGGCGTCTGGGGATGAGCGACGGGTGCAGGTGCGCAGGCTTGTAGCGGCCACCTGGATGCCAGTGGAGGTAGTCAAGAAGCTAGGCCTAACCTGCGCGGAGCCTTACGTGGGGCCCCTGCAGGAGGCTGTATGCAGGCTAGCGCACAGGGACAGAGATGTTCTAAACGTGGGCGTAGATAACCTCGAGGTGGTCCCCAACTAACTAGCTAGGTGCCCCACTAGGGGACGGATAGGAGGCACCGTTCGGGTTGATGATGTCGTAGTATGTACGTGTGTTATCTTTTGGTTAAGAGCTCCTGCTCCTGATGCAGGACGCGCGTTGTATGTAGTGCGCCGCACATACAGCAGGTTTGCATGAAGAGAAGGACACCGCAGTGTTGGCAAGCAGGTTGTATGCATGCATGTGTGTGCCCAATAACACGACTCTGTCCTATATGATGATGATGATGATGATGATGATGATGATGATGATGGTGGTGGTGCACTGATTTGACCTGGTTTAAGCGAGCGTGTCTCTGTGTGTGATTTTGCCAACAGTTGCACGGTTGCTGTGGTGATGATAGATGGCGACCCGTCGTTTTATGCAAACCATGCTCATGTCGTCGTACATGCTGCTGCTATTCGTGCAGCAGCAACGTTCTTTCCTAGTGAGTAGTAGTAGTAGTGGTAGCAGTTCTTTGGGACGTGTCACCATCGTACATGGTGCCTATGGCTGGGAACAAGCGGAGCTGGTAGCGCAGCAGCAGGTGGTTGCCTTTAATTGGCTCTTGTACGACGACAACAGTGTGTAGTACGGCGGTTAGGCTACATATGACCCATGGGTCATCAGGCTGTTAGGGGTGTTGTTAGTTGTTATTATGCATGGCGGCGACTGCACATTGGCGTGTCTGTCTCTTACCTATATATATTCCTCTCTCTCTATCTATGTCTCTCTCTAGATATCGTTGAACCCAGTGCTGTTGTTCATGTTGTTGTGTGGGGTTGCAGGCAGGCAGGCAGGCAGGCAGGCAGGTGTGAGCATTCTGAGCATGACGTTGGTGTGAGCAGCAGGGCGTTTTCAGCAGGAAGCTGACAGGCAGGCAGGCAGGCATATTGAGTGCGCTGGTGGTACTGTGCGTGTGTGTGTGTGAGAGCAGGTGGTGGGCTTGACAACGACGCAGCAGGCTAGCAGTGATTACTAGGCAGGAGATAGAGCAGCTGGGCAGAGCATGCACAGGCATGGAGTAGTTGTGGTAGACTACCACTGTAACATTCAAGCAAACAGAAAGGAAACACCTCGCTCCTCTCGCATGCACCGCACACAAACACGCACAGCAGAGCACAGCTCTCAGCAGCGGCCGGCGGCCGCTGCTGTCAGCGCCGCGGATCAAAAAGTTAAGTGTCGGGTCCGGGATTTGACCCCACGCGCGTACCCAAGCTAATGGGTATAATACGGCAAGAAGCACCATACCTTCCCATATACCGCCCAGGATCTCATCATGACAAAAATGCAGCAGCAGCGCTACATATCATTAACCTCGCCAACAGCCCCAGACCCAAAGCAGGGCCTTGCGGGAAGGGGAAACAGCCCCGAAACCAAACGGGAAAAGTGACACACTTTGACCGTGTACGAAGGCCCTCTACACGTGGAGACGCAGCCACAACCGCGCATCCATGCCTAGCCATGCAACACCCAAGTGCAG